TATGATTATGCCTCATTCAGATTCTTCACTCCAGGACTAAGTTTTCAAAAAGTTCGTACGAAAACATGCGATTTCTTCCCTTTGGCCATTAACATTGTGGACTCTCCTTCACTTAGATCCGATGGCTGTTACCAAATCAGGTATAAAATGGTAGACGGCATTTTTCTGTCTCAGAAATCGTACATTTTGTGTCCGTGGACTAAGGTTGCAAGGAAATTGAGAAGATGCACGAACGCCACTGCTTAGGACACTGTGTTCCCAGCCAAGAAGCCCAGCGCGACCTATATTGCCGAGTCTCCTGGTTAGGTTTATCCTACCCTCGAGTCAGGTATTATTTTGACCACCTATAGCTTTTTTCCACGCACTACCTGTCTCGGCAAAAACCACGTGCTCTCTAGGAATGAAGTCCAACAACATGTTCCAGCGACGAAAAAGGTAGTAAATGGGTAGCTATATCCAAGAGCTGGCATCCGTCGACACAAGACCTCCCTATACCTGCTTCAACTGAGTAAATACTGCCAGTCGAAATGAGCCCTCCATCTGAAATGGAGGTTACCCGAAAAGTAAATTACCACAAAAGGCTTCCAGACCGGAAGAGCTGTCCCCATCGATCTTTAAGGATGGAGATTCAGTCTGGGTTTTGGAGTTAACGAAACTCCTGTCCTCGGTGTGGGAGAAGCAACAGGTTCTAGTTGAATGGTGTGAATCGGTGGTCAAACCGAAAAGTGGCAAGTCCTTTTGTGAAAACCACACAGGAATTAATCTAATCAACATCGTCTCTAAACTTCTCATTGGGAGAATACTCCGTCGGTTGTGAGTCTCACGTGAACGATGTACGCGTGTGGACCAGGCTGAATTTAGATCTTGTCGAGGTTGTATCGACCATGTCTTCACTCTTCTTCAAATCCTAGAACACAGACACTCCCTTCGTAGACCCACCATCTCTATCTTCCTCAATCTGACAGCGGCCTTCGACTCAGTCGACTGTCCTAAACTCCGACACTGCTTCTGTCTGAAGAGTGTGCCCGAGAAGTTTATTTTGATATTACAATCCCTTTATACTAATAGCCGAAGCCGAGTTCAAGCTTACGGCACTTCTTCACCCGAGTTCACCACGGAAAGTGTTCTTCACGACTGCCCTCTCTCCGTTTCTATTTAGGTTTGTGAAATATTTCCTACTTGAAACAGCCCTTTCTTCATGCGAGGTAAGCGGCATTGTTTTACTCTCAGGTGGCAAGCTGTCTGCTCTAGAGTATGCAGACGACAATGTGCTACTAAGTGAAGATCCAGGCAAGTTGCAAGCTTTTCTGAATAGTTTGAGTGCAAGCGTGTCTGTGTTCGGTATGCGTTTTGCGCCTTCAAAGTGCAAAATGCTGCTACAATATTGGGTTGGTCCCGCCTCCAACATCACCCCAACTGGGGAAGTAATGGAGGAAGTCGGTAAATTTTGCTATCTGGATAGCTTTATCTCACCTGGCGGACGCGTCACAGATAAAGTGTCGGCACGCCCGCAGAGGGCTCGGTTGACACTTGCCATCGCTACATCCGGATGTTCATGAAGGGTCGAGTGTATACTGCAGCAGTTCGGCCAATTCTGCTACGCGGTGCAGACTTGGTCATTACGAGAACAGGATAAAAATAAACTGTCGGTGTTCGAACACCACTGCCTACGTCGTATCGCACGGGTCTGGTGGGTAAACTGGACAAGCAATGCTGTGGTTGGACGTAGCGTTTTAGGTAATCGCGGTCGTCTACTGGAAAGTGGTTGACCTCCATGGACCACGCTGCTAGGGACATGTATTGTGTCACCAAACAGGTTTCCACGGTAAGCGATGTTTACCGAGGCAGGGCGTGGTTGGAACGAGATCAAGAGCGGTCAAACCAAGACCTGTCATGAGGATATAAAAACCCTAACCAGGAGACTGGCTCACGTAGGTCCCGTTAGTTTCCCTGGATAGGGACTCCTAAGCCATGATAATCGGTGGTTAGAAATACTGAGTGGTATGGATGAATGTTGCAAACAGTGGCGCTCGTGTATCCACTCGATAGTCTTGCAACCGCAGTTTATATTAATTATATTTCTTCACCTTGAATTTTCTCTCAAAATTCCAATCCTCATTCTGCTCTTTTATCCAAACGGGCGGTCCAAAGACATCAACCAAAAACGGAGCACGAAAGTGCATGGTTAATGATGGTAAAATCCAAAACTGAAGACTGCATCCAAGAGCACCCAGTTCTAATGAATGCCTAAATAAACGGGAGATCTCACGGCATAGACCATAATCGACAGTGCAAAACCATGTTTCTTCTCCGAACACCATTGCTTGTTCAATGGGATGTGATCGTGGAAAGCTGCAAACAGGGATAACAAGACCTCGTGAACTGGAACAATAAATGTATCATACGACTGTTTTGAAACTTACTACTCGATTATTTGCTAACATAACCCGGAAGCCGTATATTAATCCGAGGTGCTCACCTTTTTAATAATTCTATTTATCCAATGTACTAGGACGCAGTTCTTCTTCTTGAAGAAAAACTCAGCCAATGCATGACCCTCTGCGGGCATGCAGGATAGAAAGTCCTGTAGACGGATAATGATGTTATATACCAACTGATTGCTTATTGGATTATGTCCAACGAATTAGGCAAAAGATTGCTCAGATTAAGCATGCATTATGCGTCTTGAAAACCCCGGACATGGAACTATACTGCCGAATGGTACCACTACCATTCACGTTCGGTGATTCCCCTCTTCCTATCAAAAATTACACCTTCACAGCGTTTGCACATCATACTATCGAAATATATCGCGACCAAGATTCTAGCAAAATGGAAACATCAGGCGAGATATACACCGTTCATTCGACACTTGAAATTGCCGTTTGATCTTGAAGCAAACCCTCAGTTTCATGCATGGACTGTGTGCATATCCCCCATGCGGAGCACCTGAGACTACAGGTTGGTCTGGATATCACGATAAAATGGAGTTGGTGGGTGCATGCACTGCTGCGATGTGACCGAAATTCGTTGAACGGGCCTCGGCCTGCCCGTTATACAACCGTTTGCACAACCCTTCAGGTCAGCGAACTGTTTGAATGAGCTTTAAAATTCCACTATCCGACGTGCAACATTTCAAACTGGTGTGAGTCTAGACTGTGCCGAACAAACCACGGTACAGCAAAAAACTCTATACCCGATTTGCTTTCGGGAGAAGCTGCCAATCAACCCAGACCACTGCAATGATGACACGATTGTGTACTACATACTGAAAACACTATACGCGCCACATAACGGCATGGTAGCAACAGCAAAGCCGTGATTATAGTTATCATCAACTTACAGCGAGATACAGAGAAGTGAACTTCGCTGACGGCTGTGCTTTATGGGCGGATATTCCTAGGGTCTCCAACCACTAAGCAGGACGACTGGGGTTCTCGACCAAAGCCCTGGGTTCTGAAAAGAACCTAAACACAAGGTAACGGATAGGACGGAGTAGAGTCCCATCGATTTGGATCGAGTAACCCTCCAGCATTTGCAATCACAGAGGCGCCAATTCGAATCGAACCCTCCTCCTGGACGACCAGGAGAATCGAATTCAACTATTTGAGAATGAACAAAACTTCCCTGTCCTCTTAAGGCCGACTTTTCGGTATTTATAGACCCACTGGATCCTCCTATCGTTCCGACCTCAGGAAAACTCCGGCGATTCTCTGCTAGCACGAAGCCCTAGCTAAAACGATAAGATTCAGGTAAAGTTTTCAACAACACTGCCATTCTGATATTCCATCAAAATGTCCCTCTGGCTGTAAGGCTGTGGAAACACCCGGACTAGTAAAAACAGTACCGACCAACGAACAATCGCAAACTTCAGTTTGTACAATTTGTTTCGTCCAATAATCCCACTAGTGCTAAATTCACAAAAAAGCATTCCGGACAAGCCAGATAGGCCAATGAAATTCACCACACCAGATGAACTGCAGTCAGTTAGCACCTATTATAGCAAGACTAGCCGCGCTTCGTGCCTGTGCCGAAGAGCACCGGACAACCAGCATACGGTGATATAATGAAATGACGGTCGAGTAGCGCCGTCTAAGATCTGGAGTTCAACACCACCCTGGCAACGATGGCGTCAAGGGGAAACTCATCGGATAAGTAGTCACAAGCCAACAAAATAACAAGGGCTTTGAAGGCTGCTATACGCGTTCCCCACAGAATATTCGGTATTTTAGTTGAGACGATCTGCGTCCGATTTGCTCATTCGAGGATACAGAAAGTTGGTCTTCTGCCAAACCAAAAATAGACACCAAGAAAGCACAGGGTTAGTACCAAATACTTGTGAAACGGATTCCAAGAGAATACCACGCGAATTACTGAGAATGAATGTCATGATTCTGCCAGTGTAAGTAACGGTTTCTAAACCGCATGAAATTAACGCCTAGGCACTGATCACGTGACTGTCCTGCTATTCGGACAGGGAACGTAAGCACGTGGTATAAGTTAACTATCGGCTTCCATCGTGATCTTTCACTTGTCGTATTGCGACAATATTAAAGACTGAAACATCGAGGCTGGGACGATGGGTAAAACAATTTGTCACCCGGTCTGCGTATGTATGCACCTTATGACCGAAGTATCTATTCTCTCCTCTATCGTATCACGCTGGCACGCAATCATGGAAAACAGTGAAATACCAGAACAGAAGCAGACCTCAGCAAAGAAACTCAATGTTGGGGCTTATGATATGGCTTTCTTCAAATCACACGATTGTCCGATGTTTTTGGTTTTAAAGCATCATCGACGATTCACAAGCTTTCTAAACTAGGGGTTGGTCAATAAACATATTGCAATGCTTCAAAAGATGTCTTGATCACTTCAGGATCAGTGTTGACTATTAGAGCTCGTGTGACCCATCACACCTCAGTGGAGTCCACACATGGGTAGTTACAAGAGAAGAGGAGAGCCAGGACAAAAGCAATTTATTACGCCATGGCTTTACACTAGGCTTTCGCACCGGAACTCTTGGACTCCCTTAGAGATTGACTTCTGGATCGTTTGCGTTCCGCTCTTTCATCGCGAGCTTGCTTGCGTCGCTGGGCCACAAGTTTTGCGTATTCGTCTTGAGCCTTCTTTCGAGCTTCAGCGCGGCGACGCTTTACTGCCAAGCGATGACGTTTTCGTTGGAGACGCAATGGAGTTGTGAGTCGTTGGATTTTCGGGGCGCGTGTTCGTTCTTTCTTACCTATGGACCAAATGATGATTAACAACTCGGAAACTCACCTTCTTTAGGTGGCAGTGGTTTGCGGACAACAAACTGGCACACGTTGTCCTCCTTAGACAGGTTGAACAACTTGCGAATCTTGGATGCCCTCTTCGGACCGAGACGGCGAGGAATGACCTGATCTGTCAAACCAGGTATCTCACCCTCGCCTTTGCGTACAATCACAAGATTTAGCACACTCAAGTTGCTGTCGACGATACAACCACGAACGCTCTTCCTTTTACGTTCACCCTTCCGGCGCGGACGATAGCAAGAATGTCCTTTCTTCAGAAGCAAACGGACGCGCCCGTTTGTCAAAACACCTTGTTTCATCGGGAAACCCTGCTTATCGTTACCGCCGGTGATTCGGGCTACGTAACCCTTCCATTCCTCACCCAGAAAATCCACCGGAAGCTCCGCAGCCATGCGCTTCTCGTAGAAGGGACGGACAGTGTGCTCATCTTTGACGTTAATACATTTCTGTGTTCCGTTTGTGGGATACGCGATGTTGAGCTAAAATCAAATGGGAAATCACAGGTAGTTAATTCATGATACAAGTTAGATGCGTCATGACCGGAGTGTAGCATGCAGGGCCGACCCTGGTTCTGAGCCCACTCGAAATACACAGGTAGATTGAATCGGGCAACGCGGTCCATGTTATCACAACAGCAGCATTGCTTTCATCTACGAGATTACGCTTTTCACAGTCCACTTATGCTGACGTTCGGTGTCAACCTAGGCGCCGACGGATCCAAATAAGGCTAAATCGAGTGAAGTGAAAGATTCGGAGTACTTTGATGCTCGCCTTGAGGCCTAGCCACTTCAAGAATTTAAGGCGATCATAACTATACACCTATCATAAAAACCATCTCAGGGTTCGGCCACTCAAGGTGAGGACTCTCCGTGATCTTATAGGCCGAAATAAAAAGCCAAGGGTCCGAAATAGAACCGCTAGCTGGTCCAAGCGAAAAGGGATGCGACACCGTTCCAAAAGAGATCTTCAATTTATTCGCGAAGAGAAACACCAGAGCACTAGCTGAAATATGGACAGAAATAGGGCCACAAAAGACAAATGACCTAATGATTTGATAACAAATACAACCGCCAAAGTTCCCAGGAACCGTCCTCTCCGTCAAGCATAATAACATTAACGAGAAATAGGAACGCGAACAGCAGAACTGAGAGCCTACCTTCATCGTGAAGACTCACGCTGCTAGTGCTGCACACTAAAACAAATTGAGAAGTGTTAACTGTTCAGTGATATTTGAGATGAAAATTTCTCTCAAAGCATTAAAATACCTCATTGAGCATCACTGAATTTTCAAGTACTTGCTTAACCACTTCATATTTTGGCGGCATGTTCGAACGTCAAGTCAGGTTCAACGTCCGGCCATAAGGATTACAATGGAACAGAGAGGTAAGGGTTACAAGCGGAAGCTCAAGGACCTAATCTGTTCTCGCTTGCAAGAAAGAGAATCAGAAGGGAACTCAGAAATTTTTAATATCATAAACGGTCTCCGAACTCCAGTTTGATGACATGTTCCAGTTCAGCGCTTAAAGTAATACTAGGGGCATAGTCTAAGGCCGAATTCTGTACAAGTCGAGTAATACCATACAAGAATAGCTTACCCGATGATAATGTAAGTTGCTCGAACATCATAGCCTTCAAGAGGGCCTTAGATGATTAATAAACTTCTGTATTCCATGAAACAGTTTAAAGGTAAGTAACTATTAGTCCTGAGCGCCATTGCGTAAGACATTCTACCTTTCAGACAAAACCTGTTGACTAGCAGTGTTCGGAGCCACAATATCAGCCAAATCATGTATCTGGACGCACGATTTCCTTGGGCTACATATCGTCTTGTGCAAACTGAATTCATCGTCAGGTCACAGAACTAGCGGCTGCAGCCAAACGAGTGNCCAGTTTCATGCGCGATCGAGCTTCGACAGCTTCTGAATTTCGGTCACCATGTAGAGTGTTCCTCTTCAGTATGATCCAATAGGGGCTAATCGAACGTTTATCTGCAAAAGACTGGTATGAGCATGTAACAAGAAAAAAGTACACGCTCGAGTCGCCTTAGCCCACCGTTCGTAATTACTTGCCATTCTTTTCATACTCCTCACCCTTCTTACACCACAGCTACGAATATGTACAATCATGCGCAAACATACATCCATACCCATCCTTACACATAGGCAGTCATGCTCATACATTAATTTATACTGATAAACATTCTTACTGGTCCTTGAAGGAGAACAAAAGTACGATAGTCTGTGTGCTTGGTGAACGTTCTAACCGTACTAGTGGTATGCCATTAACAGGGTACATTTAGCCCAATGGAGCCTCAAACCCTACAGCATATTCCCTCACTTTGAGAGTTCAAATCTGCAGTAGTGGACTAGATATGTCTCCATAGATACTCAGTAGTTGATCCGCTAAATGTGCATTTTATGCACTGCTGTGTATGCTACTACTGGTCACTGCCTCTGGTTCAAGTCTCCCATGCAGTAGGGTGAGAATCTGATTTTATTAGGCTTGTCCGAATAGAGGTCAGCGTGGGAGTAAAAACGAGACCATGGTCGTATCAAACAGACGAAAGAATCATTTATTACTGATCATCACTCGTCATAGTGTATGAAAGAGATTGTGAGACAGGAGTCAGCCTCGGAACCAGGCCCTCTCTTGGTCGAGAGAGATTTGGCTTACTTGGCAACACTCTTTAGCTAGGAAGGCGAATTTACCCCGTTTGTATTGCGCTCACGGTTCAGATGGAATTTCAACCATCAAGTTTAGTGGAAAAATACATATGTACCCTTTTTAATGGCGGCATAGCGCATGTGTTGCTGTTCACCCATATGAACCATTTATTGTGGCCCATCCCCCGTTTGCAGGGTTGATCGGTGACAGAGTGCAACCATTGGCATCTGCGACCAGTATGATTTAGGGTGCAGCTTATTACACCAACCCTCTCTCTCGGTTGAGAATGTGGTTGTCTCCTTCCGATCATTCTGTAAAAGTTGGTCAATGATGAGGTAGGGGTTATTGATGAATGGAGACCGAACAGAAAGTTCGAGATGTGCAGAGAACGGGTGAGAATGGTGGTACGCTTAAAACAACCTCTTATATCCTCTTTGAAGCCATAGTTCTAGTTAGCTAGCCCACTTGCGATCAAGTATTTGACCCTGAACTTGTGTCCGTCTAAGCTCATTAATTGCCGACCATATGTAATAATCATTTTGCGGTTGCCAAACAGTCTAACGTTCGTCCACCAGGGACATTTGAATACTTTTCCAGTACGCAAAAATATATACACATGACGATGCATACATTCTACCTCATCATTTATCAATTTTGGGCTGTTTATGCAGCTTCCGGGAACAGCTCCGCCCACATTGCATTTAATCGGCCCTTAAAATCATCAACCGAGGCGTTTGAAACAACTGAGGCTGGTAACTTACTCCAAAAATTTATAACTATTTGAGCGAAGAATGTTGCCCGGATACTCCTCAGTGCTCGCGGTTTCTCAAGCTTGAGTTCATTCCATCGCAAAACGAGGTTGTCATTCCTGGACAGCAGTTGAGTGCCGGTAATGGTATGGCATCCCAACTATTAGGATTTCTAAAAACGACCTATTTTTACACGTATTTTAGAAAAAGCGATGTCGAATTCAGCCGAAGTGGAACAGATTTTGCTTTTGGCTGATTCTGAGTGGTTTATTAAAATTTAATTTGTTTAAATTAACCCTAATGGACTTTGTTCAGAAAGTATAAATACCGCAACCTAATTCCGACGATCACTCTCACGCTCGTACCAACGAAACGGTCGTAAAAAGTTGCTGTGGATCACTGGACGGATTCTTGGAAGACATCCATGAATTCCGAAGTGTTTGGTCGGAAACTGACTCCTTCGGAGGGTCTTCCGTACTATTTCATCAAATATTGCTGTGTACATCACAGCAGGCGCAGTGCAACTGCAACCAGGTAATTATGACTCTCATTTCTAATGTAATTAACTCACTATAGACTGCCAAATATCGATTGTCCAGCATTCGTTGGAATTCGCGCGGTCGGGAGGGAGTACCGAGTGATGAAACGTTGTCTGGTGCACAATCATGACTTCCATATGGGTCAGCGGGGTCTGTTTATAAGTAATCGTCGTCCATCTGGAGAACAGAAAGAGGAAGTGTGTACTTTGATGGACGATTTTAGAAGCACTCGTGAGCTAAGGGATTTCGCCACACAGGTTCTAGAGACCCTTTACTACGGCAGATATTAGATCCACACGTTGAAAAAGGTTTCAGGTGGATTCACGTGGCGATGCGGTGAAAGTTGGGGATATGCCGGAAAGTCAGGAAGAGGTAAGGATAGGGCTGAACGAAGGCATCGTTCGTCACATTTATTTTTTTCCTAAGGTTATGTTGCACTACGTCGCCAGGTTTATTGATGTTTTGTTAGCGGACGCTACACATCAGCTAAACTATGGCGGGTACGTGCTTCGGCATGCTACGCTTGTAGACCACACCGGTTTAGGTAGAAGTTTCTTCGACG